AAAAAAAAAATACGTGTCTCTTATTTTGTCGAGTACTACAACATATCAAAAAATTATTGAAATCGGTGGGGTCGGGTTGGGGGGGTTTCCTTGTAAATCTCGCGTTGCTTGGCAATAAACCAAATGGGATTTTTATAAAAGCGTCTTTGAACTGAGCAGCAAGAAATGTGATTTCTGTTTATCTAGAAAGTACAGCAATAGGATTATGTTGAAGGAAATCCTAAATCCGTCCTTCTCCAATGTCCGTTTATCGTCGGTAAAAGATGAACTTTATTAAACAAAGTATTGAAATATAACGATGTGACGATCATGGTATAAGAGCCATTACGATAATTATAGCTTCGCGATTTACTCAGTCATATGGCCAATTATTGTCGAGTTAGTCGTTACGTCTTTCACAGTTTAGTATTGACAACGAAACAGCATTCACCTTCAGCTATGACCGCTATCGACACGTTAAATGGATAAATAATTTTATTATTATAAAGAACATCGAGAAAATTGACATGGAATACTCGCACAATCAGCTCGCTTGATGCAAAATCATAATCCTGAATATTAAAGTTACACTCTCTAAATATTTGAACCAATAAAATACGAAATATGTACGACAAAGAAAAGAGATCGCGTTAACAACAATATTTTTTGCGGCATCTTTAATCAGTAAGTGTACGTGTTCTTATGGTTCTGGAAAGATTGAGGTATGTACAATTTGAATTTGTATATGTATTTATATATTAACAAAATATTTATTTTTAATGATAAAAATTATTCATTCTTTTAGTCGCACAATGTCAGCATTCCGTACATCACGAGTAGCCCCGAAATACGGGATGAACGATTTCATTGGCGGAATGCAACCTCGGATTATGTACATTGATCAAATGAATAATAAAGAAAAGATTTCACATCCAATGCGCATTCCTATAGAAGCTTTCAAAAAACACGATAAAGGTGAATTGGACGTTGTCTATGATAATATAAAACCAGTCGTCACGGTAATTCGCATAATGGGCGCATTGCCGATCACAAGAACCCGTTCAGGCAAGTAACTTTAAGTATTGATGCCTGCAATAAAAGAATTATCATCAAATAGCATCATTTATTGATCGGACTTACCAAATCAACTGTCTTATCCCTCAGGAATAACGAGATTTAAGTTAGCATCAAATGCTATGATTTACTCAGCCGTAGTCTATTTCGCCTTGACAGCTCATGTTCTTTATGTCGCCTGGAACCGTATAAGAATCGTAGGCGCAGTAGAGGGTCGCTTCGAGGAATCAGTAATTGCTTATCTCTTCATAGTATATCTAATGCCCAATTTCCTTATACCATTACTCTGGTACGAGACACCCAAACACGCCGAATGTTTCAATCACTGGAAGGAATTTCAGGTATGTAATTATCTTTAAAGGATCACAACGGTTTCACAACAGGTTCGTCATTATTGGCATTTCGTTTCAGATATTTTACAAACGTATAACTACCAGAGACCTTCCTATTAATTTGAAACGTCGAGCATTGTGGACGGCGATTCTGGTGCCAATATTGTCAGCTGCAGCTATGATCGGAACGCATCTCACTATGATAAATTTTTCAATATGGCAGGTAATTGCAACGCGAGTAAAAATTTCTATAAAATTCAATAATCATGCTAATGATTAATTCGTATTTAGATTATACCGTACGTATATGTAACTGCATTTATAAACATTTCGGGTGCGTATTGGTATATCCATTGCGCGGCAATTTCAAGATCAGCTAACGTTCTCGCTCAAGATTTTAAACACGTAAGTCCTTTGGATTGGTACAATAATTATAAAAATATTTTCAAAGCGAATGGACAAATGAAAATTATTTAATATCTTCTTGTAGGCACTTAGAAATAATGTGCAAGCCACTACAGTGGCTGAATATCGAGCACTCTGGCTTCATCTTAATAGAATAACAAGAAAGATCGGTGTAATGTGCTGCTATTCCTTTACTATTCTCACCATCTATCTTTTCTTCTCCTTGACTTTATCCATCTATGGTCTCTTTTCTCAACTACAAGATGGCCTCACAATCAAAGACGCTGGTCTTACGCTGTCTGCTTGTTCTAATATCATATTACTCCATTTTATTTGTGATCAAGCACATGCGGCATCACAACACGTAAGTATAATAGTATCATTAAATGTTTACAAATTACTTTTTCGAAAATGTTATTAATGTTAATTCAGGTGAGAGTGCACTTTCAAAAGAAATTACTACTGGTTGAAATATCGGATTTAAATCCGGATGCGCAGACTGAGGTAAAATGATTCTCAAGATAATACAATTTTATTATTGTATTCTTTGTATTATGGACTAATTAGAACAATATGGGAACTTTAATTGATTTTAGATAGACATGTTTTTACGAGCTACGGAAATGAATCCATCGGATATGAGCTTGGGAGGATTTTTCGACGTTAACAGGAACTTGTTTAAATCGGTATGATTGAACTTGTTCGAAATACGAAAACTGATTTTGATAATATGGATAATAGGGATCGTTCTTCTCATCGATAGTAATGATTCAATGACTCCTTTTCGTTCTCCGTGATATTGATCCCTTATCTTCTCGTTCTACTGAAAATGTGATTAATCCACAATATTTTTTAACTTCAATATTTGTTTTCGCAGTTTTTGGGCACTATGGTTACCTACCTCGTCGTCCTACTACAGTTCCAGATTAGTTTACCCGAAAGCAAAAACAACGATAACGCAACAATGGATAATATATAAAAATATTTTTACAATTATGTGAAAACTATACCAAAATGTTAGAATATAACAATAATATGTATATACGTGTGAAAAGCACTGTTCCTTCATTACAACAGATTGAGTGAACCCTTCTGTATACTACATACTACACACATTAATGTACAATTTAAAAATAACAATTAGTCATATGTATCACATTTACACGTAAAACGATCAGTATATACTATAGATTTTATGGCATTAATGTCAAATTTTCATTTATTTTTACAGTTCTTTCAATTTTATCAGCTCTCTATGTTACCTGTTTCCTAAAATACAAAACACACAATATACAAAACATGAATAAAAATGCTATACAACTGTGACATAAAATTTCTTTCTCTTCTTTATCTCCTTTCATGGCTTCATTCCCGTATACAGCAAGTGTCAGATACATAGATTGCAGGCCATTTGCAGATATAGAATTTATACTCATGGAGTGGGAATAGCCCACTCGAATAATGAGTGGAGACTGGCCCTAACATGTTGAGACAGAGATATATCTCTCTCTTCGTTCTTAACATTCAGTTCCTCTCACCACGAACGCGCGCATCATAGTAGCGCGTGAAAATTTCATTTATAGGTTAGAGGTTAGAGGTAGTCCAGCATACATGTTAAACGCATGGTCAAACACGGTCAAACCATGGTCTTGTATACAGGTTAGGCACTTCCCTACCCCCACCACGTCCTAGCTGTAACCGCTAATGTGGCCGGTTTTGTCCGCAAGCACTGGTATCGAAGAAGCCTGCTGACAGTGCAGCTAGCAGAGATGAGTAGGTTAGGTTAGGTTAGGACCTTGAGCGACTTTGACCCCTTAATCTTTTTTATCCGACTTGAGGTGCTCCATAAGATGGTTGAAAAAAAATGTACCATTCTATTTAAAAAAGTGACGGTGACCTTCACTGTGCATCAACGCCTCCACCGAAATAAAAAAAAATTGGTCGCATTTGAAGGCCCCCTCCACACCGTACAACTTTTGCCTGGAACATTTTTTTGTGACGTCGACAATTACCGAGATATTTAAGGTGGTCAAGTTACGGGAAACATCCGGTATACTGAAAATTTTTAACTTGATGAAAATACCTCTGGACAAGTATAAAAAGTGATATATCTGCATAAGTGGAATTTTTTTCGTAGCTAAGTTCAATAGTATAAATATTTTCTCTCTTTTGTACTTCTTGAATTTATGTTGTATCACTATATGAAATTGGTTCCACAAGATCCAATTCTCTTTGTAAAAAGATTTTCTCCGGTTTGAGTGTAGGAATTTCCAATGAAAAATCTTTCACAGGAGATATACTAACTTATACAATCAAGTTTTACTTGTATCGTAACTTTTTTACTGAATTTATTTGTAACTCCTATGAGATTTTCAAATGCAAATTCCTACCATGTGATTCAAGCAGGCACGATGCACTTTTTGTTCATTCTTGCTTCTTTCAATTCCAATCACGGTATATATTACACATCACGCAAAGCTACAGTTCACGTATTCAAGAAAAAGATAACTGCGCACGCGTAGTGCTACCACGTGTTCGCATTTTCAACACTAACGCCTCTTGCGGTAGACCCACCTTAAGGTTACGCGTTTTTCGCCTAAGTGTCCAGGCCTGTATACAAGATCGGGTGCTTTCCATTTACATGGCTTTTGTGTCGACTTGTGTCAACTTGTGCCAGTAAATGGAAAGCACCCATCGTGATTCAGATCTGTATATAACACCGTGATTTCATGGCAGATATGTGACGTATTCAGATATACATAGGTGCGCCCTCTAGAACTTACTTTAATTATTCTTACGCGTGTTATTATATTTTGCAGGAACTAAGTCCATGTAATTACATATGCGATTGAAGATAAAATCACTTTTGACATTGCCATTGTCCTCGAAGTTTATCCTTCTCAAGTTAATTTGATGTAAAGAAAAAGCAGCAAGTGAAACTGTGAAAGCCAGAACCTTATTGGCTCCTAGAAATGTGTCAACTAGTTAACAGCCAATGACGCTTTCATAATCCAGAAACTAAAGCACCATAAACTTTGACTTCAACGTTGATTGCATCACTAGTTTCTCCTCGGTAGCCTAGGTCAGTCTAGGTTGTGTTTTCGTGGTGTGCAGAAAAATAACGCTTGCGCACTAGTAGCTGGATTCTGGCTATCTCAGTGTTGTGAAGAGGTAGGAAGTTGGATGATTAATATGTCACGGCCAACTGGGGAGAATCTGCGTTTGAGAAATACGCACTCGAGAGAATGTTGATTTTTTGAAGGGCCTGCAACCACCTTTAACTGTTCTAAGCGAAGTTCATCACGATGGTGGAACCAATTTTTGACTATCAATTTCGACTGATTCTCATCGGCGACAGTACGGTTGGGAAAAGTTCTCTACTCAAATACTTCACTGATGGCAAGTTTGCAGAGGTATGTACATGTTAGCGACTATCATGTTTTTGTAAATAACAATTTTAAATAACTTATTATATATATAACTTATAAAGTTATATTATATATAACTTTTTAAATAAATAACAATTAGGGCATGCCTTTTAATTATTAATCAGTCTACTAAGCGTGACTGGCCTTGAGTACACTTCATGCGTTTTGTTGTTTGTGTATGTTACGATGCAAGAATTACAATACTGTTGTTTTTGATGCGTACGTTCATCGCTGTACGACGAAATGGACGTACGACTGTGCAAAAGTGTTTTGAAGTATGTAAATGATTTTAAAAACACGTAGAAAGATGATTTTGAAACTTGCCTACGAAATGAAACGTAGTACCTAGGAAATTATGTAAATTACGTTTTGCCACGCTTAGGTTACATATGGCAATTATTAATAGAATGTGTTCGCACGCATGCGGAAGCTCGAAAAGAATAGTTATAATTATAGAATATAGTATATTTTTGGCAAGTGATTCTTTGCGTCGTTTTGGCAAACTGCATTTTGACAACTCTTTTTACACATTCATGATTGTTTTTTGAACCATTATCTCTTTGTGCATACACACATATCTGTAGAGAATTTGTAAATAATATCTCATACTTATACTATATAATTAGTTCAAAGAAGAATCATCATGCAGATTAAGCTATGCCCATCAAAACAGTAATTTACTCTATTCATATCTTTTTTCAGCTATCAGATCCAACAGTAGGAGTAGATTTCTTTGCTCGTTTAATTGAAGTAAAAGATGGTACAAGAATTAAATTACAATTATGGGATACAGCTGGCCAAGAAAGATTTAGGTAAACAAAAATATCAAAAGAACCATTAAGGATGTGTGTATTTGAAATCAATCCTATTTATGTGAAAGTTGATTTTAAATGTGTTTTATGGAAAATTAAGATTTTAACAAATTTCTTTTCTGCTATAGGTCAATTACAAAATCATATTACAGAAATTCTGTAGGAGCACTTCTTGTCTACGATGTGTGTAATAGAGCCAGTTTTGAGCATATTCCCCAATGGATGATGGAAGCACGCAGGCACATTGAACCACATCGGCCTGTCTTTGCATTGGTAGGATGTAAGTTAGATCTTGTAAGCAATGGTGGTAGGAGAGAAGTATCAAAGGAAGAAGCAAGAGCTTTCGCCGATCAACATGGAGTTCACCACATTGAAACAAGTGCAAAGACAGGGATTAATGTTGAAGAGGCATTTAAAACAGTTACCCAAGAGGTTTATAATAGAATATTAACAGGCGAATATAAGATTGAAGATGGATGGGATGGTATAAAAACAGGATTTGCTAGGCCTGGAGGTTTAGATTTTAATCTAGTCGAGGCAGAACCAACAAAAAGTTCTTGTTGCTGAGTTAGTTGTCAAAATATTTCTTATTCTTTGGAGAGGACAAGGGACGTTGGGAACGCAGTGGAAATTATATGCAATCAGATAATTGAAATATAAAAATCTTGCAGTTCAATGTTACTTCGATGAACACTAATAGATTTAAATTACTAATCAAGAGCTAACTCATGATTTTCTGCTGCATTCTTATCGTGGAAACAAGACTAACCACTAACGATCATCGAAACTTGTGTATAACAATAGGCATTGACTTTTCTGTATATAATTTGTATATAAGAATTAATATATTAATATTATTGGAGTACCTATACAATGTAGATTGTGCTAGGAATTATTTTCTTTTTCTATATTATGGAAAACAAGGTACATATATCGTTACTCCAAACAATCGTGTCTATACCTTAGTTAGTACGTGCAACAGATGTAAAGTACATTATAATTAACATAAAGCCGAAAATTTTGTTCCCCAAGAGATAATATGGCTGTGTTCTTCATGAAATTGCTCTTATGTTCTCATTATCATATTGCAATGGGAATGCAAATATTAACATAGAAAAACGTATATTGATATGAAAGTTAGATAGGGTAACGTGAATTATTTAGAGTTCGCATTTTATAAGGATAGTAGATCATTAGGTTAAATATTTCCTTTAGCGAATGTAACAGTTAAACAATAGATTTTCTTTACCAATAATTAAAAAATGGAATTCTACTACGTATTTAAAAAGACATACGTAATCAATTTACGGCCAAAGTTTGAACAAACAGATTTTATACCTGACATATTCCGTAATTCGCTTCGCGTATTTATAGACATTTGTCTTAATTGTAAGTCGGAACAAAATCGGTATAGGTTAATAAAAAGACTTGTATTTCTGAAGCTACTAGATAAAATCATTGCAAGGTTGAAACTTTTTAAGCTGCTTATACTAGATTCACTATATAAAGTAATATGCGTATATAAGAATTTGATAAGAAGGGCAAATAAATGATATTTGCTAAAAGATTCATCTTTTTTCACAATTATACTAGAGATATAGTAGCCAATTTTGAACAACACGGAGCATAGCTGACAAATTGAGAAACAGAAAACGTCAGAAGTACATAAAATGAATTTTCAACGTTTCTCGTCCTCTATCTAATACTGTATAGCGATATGCCAAAACTTATATTTACCCGTGATATGTTATATTCAGAAGTCTACCCATACACTTCCTATCACCAAAATAGAGTCGACTCCAATAATATGTTCATTGTACTTCAACGACTTTTACTAATCAAATTGACGGAGTGCGGTTAAAAATCGCTGAAATGATTAGAAATTTGCTGACGTGCTAATATGTAGTGGATGCTATAATTACATTTACACGACGATGGTTCACTTAGTACTGATCTAAAGGAATCAATCCCAAATATTTCTTAGAAGTAGAAATGTCTGTGATTTGTCATTTCCTTTAGATGACTCGTGTAAACGTAGTCTATGAAATGAATTTTCATCTGTTACTGAAATTCAAAAATTAGAAACTTCAAAATAACAAGATCTAAGAATTTGTCAATTATTCCATCCAATTCGCTTTTAATAAGAGTACCAATCCTTGTTTGGCGATTATTTAAATTATCATAAACTTCGTAATATTATATGACTATAGACTGCAGTGCGACTAGTCATTTAAATTAAGAGTTTATTCAAACAGCAGGCAGGTTTTTACAAGACGATATTTTCTAATTCACTGTAATACGTGTTCATTTTATATTCATTCATATGCATCTGTACTTGCATGTACGATTTTATTGTTAAAAATAAATATCACATAAAAATTCAGACATAGCTAAAAGCATTTTATCGTTTATAATTTTTCTTTTTTCAATTTTAATGCGTTTTTCTGCAAGGTATTTGAAGTATTGTGTATCAAAAGCGTATTGTTACAGATTAAGGTCGTACGACCAAGTAAACTCGTATTTTAATTCGAATTATAATTATACCTTTATAAAGCACATCACAGCGATACTGATAATATCATTTTGCTGCTGAGTATCTTCATGTTGGATGCTTTTATAAACATTGATGTCTCAATAAAATGGTATGGCATCTCGTAAATATTCCGTTATATTTGGAATATATTTGTAATGGTTGTGTTGTCAATCCCATTGTACACATATTATTTCATAGTTTCGTGGAGTAGAGATGATATATTTGTTATTTTAAAATTCGAGAAAACTGATATCTAGTAAAATAGTAAATGTAGGCCTTCGTACGAAGCTTGAATGTGAGTGAAAAAGAAGATTTATTCACAAAATATACAACCTCGTAAATAGATCGTGCATACACGAATATTATAGTTATCTCGCAATTGAATTCCGATATAACTATGAAATAAATAATTTAATGAGATAATATATCTATAATTATTTACAGATAAATGAAAATCTTTTATATGATAATACAATATAATCGGTATGTTTATATAAATTATATTGAATAATGTTATTACTCTGATTCCTGCGTCTTACTATTTACATTGGTAAAATGTTTCAAGAATGAAGCCTCACGATTAAAGGAGGTTGAGATGCAATTTCATAAATTGACGTTAGAATCCATGATAGTGAAATTCATATAATGGTTCAGAACCAAAGGTTAATAAGGTTCCATACTAGTTGCAACTATACTCTCTGAACTGTAGGTTTATAAAAAAATGGAATTCATAGTGCCACAAGTACGCACTTGAACCCTGTTTAACAAAATTCAGAGTAAAGAGTGTCTGTTGTAAGATAAATTAATTTATCCTATTGTACGATATATGAAATAATATTGATGGAATTTTAATTACTTGATAAAATCAGCCAAGTAGCAAAATATCTTTTCAGTACTAAATATTATAAATCAACATTAAATTCCATAAGTGGTTTGCAGAGCACTGCGACCATTATATTATATTAATTACACTATAACAACCCTATATCCTGTAAAAGTCTAAAAATGAGAGATTCACATTATTTTCTGTGTAATTATAATTATCTGGTTATTGTTATTGAATATATTATTTTGGAAGTATATTTATTTTGTTACCAATCTATTTATATCTAAGGTGACTAGAAATGTTTCTAAATGTTTCCTTCATTATTATATATTTTTTTTGGCAAGAGTCGTCCGATATAAATTTATGAAACAGCAGGTAATTTTGCGGGAGTACCATTACGCGTATGCTTACCATAACAGTACTAATATTATCAATTAGATCACGCAATCTGGTATCACTATATATTCTTTCATACTAACTTATGCAGTTTTTTGTAGCTATTCCATTTATTTACAAATTAATTCACGTTGTGACTATCATATCAGAGTAACTACAGCAGGGATAAGTCTATGTAACTTATCTTACCCCTTTTTCAAATGAATTTCTTGTGACCAATGATGAAATATTGAATATGTAATAAAATTGACCTTGCTTATTGAGAAAGGGGTAAGTATTATATAGAATTTGGCTGATTTGCGTTAACCATTTTTTTTTAAACTTAATAATCATTAATATACTGAGCATCACTGATTGAACACGACGTATATCAATCGTTCCCTTAGCATCTTTTCTCAAAACACAGGCGGTCAGAAGCTCTACTAATGTAGGAATCGACACGCAATGAATAATCTTTACAAAAAGAATTCTCTTTTCAATTCCCCAACACAACTTTTCCTATGAGATGCTTGCAAGACTTGCAAATAGCTGATATTTGCGAAAGCAACATGCAATATCCTAGGTTCATCAGAAAATTCGCTCAATAATTTCATTGAACTTCTCTTCTTATCATCTCATACGATTTGATATTTTTCTTATTTTTCTTTTGGGATAATCTCTAAATTCTCCGATGTACAAAGTGTGGAAATCCCGTTAATATATGGATTTCTTACAACGCGTTAACGGGATTTATACCTGTGAGTTTTTATAGACAATATGGGATAGAATATACTTAACGGTGGTAACATTATTTTTCCTGATATTAAGTTTTACATATGTACCGGTTTTCAATTTGTATATCAGTGAAGTGTGCACTGCTATAGTGAAATACTATCTATAGTCTTTCTTTTATTACCTTATTACTGCTCAAGAGATTCGCAACCGAAAAGAACATATTCTTCGCGAGAGAGCCAGAATGGATTTCCTTCTACGTATTCCGGTGGAGTCTTGTCTATAACATATATGAAACACAACTCTTATGAAATATTATAACTATAAACGGTAAAAATTTAGGTTACCTTACTTACCAGGATGTACAGCTAAAGGCACATACGTAGATCCCATAGCAACGTTCCAGCTATGAGTACCTGGGCAACTTTTGACTTCCAAAATTCCACTGTGCTCAGGTAACAACTCTCTCAAATCCTTGGTTAATCTCAATTCGAAACCAGACAGATCAGTGTTACCGCCTGTCAGTAGAATATGCGATAGGCAGTCATGCATTAGTTCCTTAGACAAACCGGAAGTTACTTCTTTTATAACCTGCGGTAAGCCTAAACTGATATACATCATTTCCGGAGCAATGTACAACTCTGACCCCAATGACACCCTCTGCAAATATTACTTTTAGTATAGAAATTCGTGGAAGTTTTTTTGTATATCTTCTAACTTATTCGTTCTTTGGCACCTTACCCAAAATTGTTTGTAATCGGCGTAGCTATCAACTCTCAAATTAATGTGCTCTCTTTTCGTTGGTCCGCGTTTCTTTTCCTCGTGTTCGATATTGTAACTTAGTCTACATCTTTCCTTAACTGCCATGGTATCTAAATAGGATACCGGAATTTGATGATATTCCTTTGGCTGCCAGTGCATCGCTTGTTTTAAATGATGAGCTACGTGCCAGCCACCGACTGGAAGTAATTTCCAACGATCTGGCATTACACGACCGCCTATTACTACGGCCACAGTTGTGCTTAGAGCACCGCTGTCTATCACAACACATGTTTCTACGTCCAACATTGCACAAGCGGCTAAAGGTTTTGGCACCAGACACACTCTGTAATTTTATAATGTTAGTATTTTCTATATATCACTAGTATACAGAATAAGTAGAAAAATAAGTGAGATATAAAGCAGAATAATCGTTACCTTGCTACTTTTACTTCTTGAAATAAGTAATGTAATAATTGCTGTCTAAGTATTGGATGCATGGCTAATGGTTCGCAAAACATAAGAACAGCATTGGGCTTCCTCAGTATTGATGTCAATCCCATCTGGTGAAATAAATGATCTACGAATGTTTTTAATACAGAGAATGTGCCATCACTGAGTAGTGCTTCAGCTGGGCTGACAACATCTACATTCGGTATACCCAGCACTTCAACTGTGTCTGTACAGTAGCCATTGACTAACTTTTGATATATTGGATTTGATCGTGTGTAACATGAAGAGTCATTTGGATGCGTGACCAAACGCTTTTTCTCTCTGTATAATTTAACAGGATTGCAAAAGACACAAAATGGTCCGCTTGGCCGCGGAATCTTTACTGCTGTTAGATCATTTAATTTTAACAGTTTTAATTTTTTTGTTAGCGATTTACCGTCAGACTTTGAACGGCCACTACTGCTAGGAATGTTTTGAGTTTGCATTTGCTCTGCGTGAGATTTGTTGTTATATTTTGGAATGCCAAACATTGAGAAATGTCTTCTTAAACCAGAATGGGGTGTTATCACCCACGTATACTTATTGCCAATTTCAATAACTACTTTTGCACTAGATCCTTCTACGCAATTTCTCTGACACGTGTAGCCACTGCAATAGTAACATTTTGGAAATGGAACACTCTCTCCTAGTGTAATAACCATGTGCAATCTGTAGCACATTGCCTTGAAGCTTACACTGAGTAATTGGAGGCATTTTATATCAGGAAATTTAAATTGTACTTTGGAGATCAATTGTAGCCATTTCATTTTCCTGGAAAAATAAGGTTGTAGTGATATGGTAATATATTATATTACGACAATCGTATTTCTTACTATTATTACAAAGTCCCAAATAACAGTTACATATTCCAATGTAAAAATCTCATATTGTTATAAAAAATAATTGATAATAACATACACAAATATTAATTACATAAAACATTTAATGATTTAGAACTAGTACTTTATGGAATAACGTAGAGTCTATATTTTCTGCTCTCTATGATATAACTCTTATGAAATAAGAAAAGATATGCAAGAATAAATAGCCATATTGGAAAACAATGAATGACTTAATAAATCAGTGACAAACAATGTGAACTTTGCATAGTTTACAATTTTGTAATATAGTTTGACAGACAGGTAACCTCAGGACATACCACAAGTAGTCAGTGTCCGACGTTTTTCTGAGGTACTTGCAGGTGCTTCCAAAAGCAATAATGTCAGGTACATTGCAATATAACAAGATCTTAATCCAGATCTCTTCGGGAAATACCGCAGGATCCATTATAACAAATAAATTTGATAAATAAGACACAATCTCTTACACGATTAAAGACACTCCCCAGAAAATAATGAATACGTTAGTCAGGTTCAAGGTTACAACGCCAAACTTCTATATGAAAGAAGTTACCCGCTGCTGGTAAAGCTTATTTTATCATTGAATAATCAAGAGACTCGGTCGAGTCTCGCGTCAAGTACAGGCAACCCGCCGTACGGGGCACGGCCCGCCAAGACTCTTCACTCGAAGCATTTCTTGTACCTGTGTTTCGACTCAAATATCTCATGAACGGCTGTATGTGAGAAAAATTTATTGATACATTCACTGTAGGAATCAAGGGTTCTGAATTGATTACCACCAAATTCAATACGATTAGTGTACAGGATCAGGACGTATTCACATGGCGAGCGAGATGATTTTATTTCAGGTCCGTCGTCGTCGTCGTCGTCGTCGTCGTCTTCGCACGTCCATCAAATTTTTTACACGAGAGATGGTGCTGAGTTCTGTGCCTTCTTTACCTATTTGTACTCTGCTTGGTCAGAGATGAGCAGGGAGATATACAACGCTCCGGTTTTCGGCGGTACCAAAATCATGCCGCTAAATCGTAGTGGCAAGTCTGGAAGTAGGATCCCCCAAAAAACACTTACGTGTAAAAAACTACGCCAAGTACAG